TTGATGAACCTGGTAAGTTGGTATGTCTTGACTTGATGGGACCATTACCACCATCTAGGGGGGGTGTAACACAATTGTTAGTCATTGTAGATTCCTTTTCAAAGTATTGTAGGTTATATTCTCTTAAGCGGACGACGACGAAAACGATTTTGAAAAAGTTAGTTGACGATTATTTTATAAATGTACAGAAACCTCAAGCGATTCTTAGCGACAACGGTACGCAATTTACGTCCAAATTGTGGATGGAAGTTCTAGGGAGAGAAGGGGTTAAGGTAAAGCATACTAGTGTGTATTTCCCTCAAGGGAATTCTACGGAGAGATTGAATAGGGAAATTGGGCGGCTATTGAGGACGTACTGTTCAGAACAACATACTCGATGGGCTTATGTTTTGAAAGATATCGAAGTTTGCCTAAATAACGTTATACATGAATCTACGGGTTTTTGTCCGAATTATTTACAATTTCATAAATCTGAACCTAATAATATTAGGAGCATTTTGAAATTTCCTAGGGAAGAGCAGGTAGACCCGCCTTTGCAGGAAGTTTGGACTTTGGCTGCTCAACGTTTGAGATCTCGCGCGCGACAACGTAAAGCTAAACATGATGAAATGGTGAAGCAAACCTTATTTAATCCTGGAGATGCCGTATTAGTAAGGACTCATCATCTTTCTTCAGCTGAAGACGCGAAAATTAAGAAATTGTTTGTTCTCTTTGACGGTCCATTCTATGTGTCTAGATTGGTAGGGCCTAACTCATATGAGATAAAGCGTACAGATGGTACAATTCATAGTGTTCAAAATATTGTGAATATTAAGGCATATAAAACTCTTGTATAATTTGTTTCAATTGGTAGAACTAGGCGGAAATGTTTGTTTTTAGTATTTAATCCTGTGATTGAGTAAGTGGTATAATCACTGAATTAAATAGGGGGGTAGTGTAGTGTGCCAGAATAGATACTGGTAATATTATGATCATTTTAGTTCTAATGGACCTTATGTGTATGCAACCCACATTACATGACATGTGCATATGTGCCTGGTGCCTTAGTGACAAGAGTGTTGGTGACCTTGGGAGTTTAACGCGGGGTTTTTGCACATTGTTTTAGGGTGTTAGATAGAGAGGGTTTTGGGTAGTCGTCGATTGGCATTCGTCAACGATAGACGAGTCCATGTTTTTGTAAAGTTTTGCGTTTGGCCATTGTATACCGGCTGACTGTTGTATTATTTTGTTCATGTTCACATCGTCTGTGACTTGGAATAAAGTGTTTTGTATCTAATTCGATTGATGTATTACCTGAACCTACATAACGACCTGAGATATTGCTTCTTATACAAGAGTATCATCGCAAGGGATATAGATCAGGATCGCAAAAAATACACTCAATCATCACCATCCACGATCACATAGTGAATACTTACATCCGTAAGCTGAACAAACCTGAAAACATAAATAGACAAGAGCTACTCCAGAAACTCAACCGCAGATTTAGAAACGAATTCAACATCGACACTCAGGCAACTTTCCCAGGTGGCAACAAGGCATTTATATTCATGTTCGACCTGGATGCTCCAAACTCCACATCCCCAACTGAACCCACACAAGGCTCGATAATATCAGTTAGCATTCATGCTCCTTAACTTATTATATGCAAACATAAACAGCTATACTCCGAAAAGACATCTGTTTAACAACTTCATAGAAAACAATGAAATTAATTGTACCCTTTTTGTTGAAACTAAAACCAAAGAAAGCAGCAATACTCAATACAGGAACTGGAACATTATTCAAAAAAATGGACATCTAGTTGATAATGTTAGAGGAGGAAGTTCAGTGCAAGTATGCCCTATTCTAAAAATGAAAAAGGAAAATTCCCCTAGAATGAACAATCCCCTAAGCGAGGCTCTCCATTTCTCTATACCCTTCAGAGGAGATAAATTACACATATTTCTAATATATGTACATCACACTTCAGTAGAAATTGAAAATACCATATTCAACAAAGCTGCAATTTATAAATACTTCTTGATCATAGGCGATTTCAATGTTGACAGAACCAGAAAAAGACAAATTGAAAATTTTATTGAAATATCAAATTTCAAAAAAGCTGAGACCCTCCCTACCTTTTTAATGCAAAATAACCCAGACAGCACCCCAGATTTGATATTATTTACGAGCAACATGGAAAACAGTATTGTAAATGCGGACACTTGGGCGGACCTTGGCTCAGACCGTCTAGCATTTCAAATAACTATCGAACTAAACACACTCTCCTGCAGTTAACGAGTACAAATTAAATTTCAACAAATGTGATATCGAAAAAGTTAACGAAGACATGGTGAGATTTGTAAGCAACACACAAGAAATGGGTAACGAGATGGTACAATAGTTCAACAAAAACCTTGAAGAAGCTGTCAAAAATCACTCATCTAAAGTTGATATTAAATTCTATTTACACGATTCACCTCCCTTCATAATCCGTCTGATAAAAAACAAGCGCAGAACGTATCGGGAATATAAAGCATCACATGATCCTGCTATTAAACAACAAATTAACTCATAAAACAAAGATATACATAAGCTCATTAAACAGTATAGAGAAAACAAATGGTTAGAAACATGCCAAGAAATTAACCAACAACAAGGAAAAAACTACTGGAACCAAATAAAAAAATGTTCCCGATATAAACCTCGTTATATAATCTCAACGATTGAAGAAAACGGTCAAGTATTCCACTCGGACGAGGATAAATCAAATATCTTCGCTCAAGTATTCAAAGACAATTTATTCGAAGCTGATAATCCCAGTTTCGACCAGGACAACTTAGAGTTAGTGAACAGATGGTACGAAGATTTCTTCGGAAGAGACATAGAGCTTCATGAATTCGAAACAGACGAAGAAGAATATTTCACTATTTTGCACGACCAAAGAAATTCTGCTCCCGGCCGCGATAACATACCCTGGTCAATTGTGAAAAAACTCGACTACAATATACATCTCTACATAATGAAAATTTATAACTTCTGCATCACGAACCAATATTTCCCGGACATCTGGAGGAGGGGAACGATCGTTGTAATTCCCCATCAAGGAAACTTTCAGTAAAAATTAACAAGACTCTCCAACGAATTCTATGCCACCCAGGGTGCACCCCAGGGTTCATCTCTGTCACCGTTGCTGTATAATATATATTGTGCTGACCTACAAGAAATACAACAACAGGTGGAAAATCAACAGACATACATATTACAATATGCAGATGATACAGCATTAATATCACATCAGCGAACCAAAACTGCCGCCATTCAACAACTCCAACAATTAACAAACCAAATCCATATTTGGTTCAACAAATGGAGACTTCAAATCAACCCTCTGAAAACGGTAATGATAATTTTCAATCATACCCCATCCATCAATTCTCCCACCATCATTATCAATAATCATCAGATTCATCCACGCTCCACTGTGAAATATCTGGGTATCCATCTTGACCATAATCTGAATTTTGATCACCACACAGCATTGACAAAAAATAAAGTTGAAGCAAGAGCAAAGCATTCCAAATCTTTAACATATAGAGACCATGCTGGCATCAACACTGCAAGTAGAATATACAAATCAATCTGCAGACCAATATTAGAATATGGCCACTCACTATATCTGAACATTATAAACCCAGCAATGAAGAACCTGCAAATCGCCAAAACCCCGGCACTTCGAACCATCACTAGAATGCGTCACCCAGACAATGTGCTACACAACCCACCCAATGATCTGCTATATTCCACGACCAAGGTGCAGAAGATACAGAAAAGACTACCAACACTGTCTAAAAAATTTGCCTCCAAACCCGAGAACATGAATCTGATGACTCCACTGATTATGGAAAGGACCAATGTTAGACCAAGAAACAAATTTCCAGAGAAGTCTCTGATAACGATACTCCATGATCTAACTGAAATCCCATAGATTTTATCACTTACCTGAAATCATCTTGTTTTTTTTAACAACTGTTTTCACTTTTCAGTCCACTCAAAGGAGATAACATTTCAAAAAGAGATAAGACCATATTGGCGGAAGGACTCAGGTCGATGGCCACTTGATTGTATTGTATAGTATATTTGTGTTCATTTACATATATGATCAATAAAGTACTTTATTATTATTATTATTAATTTAGTGAACTTGTTTTTTTATTGAAAGAATTGAAACCAGAATTGAAGCAAACATTAGATATAGTTCATATGCTAGTAATTAACAAAGTAAAAGAAGAAAAAAAAATCCATTAAAATATCCCATGAATTATCACAACACACATCAAAACCAAAACCAGGATAATAATTTACAATTATGCAAAATGGGAATTTTGTTCTTTTTCACTTTGTGAATAACTAGCATATAAACTATTTCTGTTTGCTTTGAGTCTGGTATCAATTCTTTCGATAAAAAACAAGTTCAATAAATGATTAATTGGACTAATGATGTTTTAATAACAGATGAGAATGTGTATCGATGAGAATGGCCAGCCTATAATTCTACAGAAATATCACACATCTTTCCATCGAATGATATTATTATTATTCTCTCTTGAATTTCATAATTGTGACTACAGTGATTTTTTCGGTATGCATTTGCAGATGACATTATTTCGACTTAAAAATCAATAACTTTGAAATGATCGAGATATAGTCAACAATATTATAAGAGTTGTTGAAGATCACATGGATGCTTCAAAAAATGTGCTAATACAGGGTATTTCATTTGAAAAAAGTGATCCTGACCCGCTAGATTTTTTCCGGTGCGGCAATGATTTCTAGTTATGGACCTTGTTGACTCATTCACATTCGTTTTTGAATCGAGTTTCTAGCTATCATAGAACTCGAGCAATCGAGCTCCGACGCACTAATGCCCCACCCTGTATAAGGAAGACAAAAAATGTAGTAAAGTTTTACTTGATAAAATTGAACAACAATAATTGAAATATTCTATTGAATTGCAGATGAAGATACAACATCTTTCAAAGTAACATCAGAGAAATTCCATAGACTTTTCAATCTACCAAAAGATGAAAAATTGGTCAATTATTACTCCTGCAGGTGAGTAGACAAGGATTATACATAACTCATTCCGTCTTCAACACATGCACTACAGAACGGTGAAGCTGTGGAATTCATTGCCAGAGAAAGTATTTCCAAGAACTAGATAATTCCCAAAAGATCAAAAAAAGTCCAACACCTACCTCCTTTTCCTTAAAATTGATTATAAAAGTCAAACAGTGTGTGTGAATTCAACACCTAACTTGAAATTCGATTGGCAAAAACAAAAATTTGATAATATAATATCAAGCTCTATTCAACTCAACAAATCTGGAATATTGAGATTCTTAAGGCCTACTATTATTCATTGATGAGTTCGTAATTTCAAAAACGACTATTAAGCAATTTTTTTCCAAGAAGTGGGTAGCCTATTCGATTCAAACATAGCTAAAATATCCCCTTTCAAAATTTGAACGCAATTCCTCATTAAAGTAGGATTTCAATGGAAGAATTGCCACAAGAGTTCCGTATACCACATTCCATCAATTCGCCTTCCAAACGAACATACTGTAATACCAACAAATAAAGCATACTTTTCAAACGTTGATATTTCGAAAACTATTGAACTTGGGAGTGAGTGTGTTGGATAAAACTGTAGAGACATAGGAGGAGATTGCGGAAATAGACTGATATACGGGGTGTTCTATATAAAAAAATATATTCAAGACGCCGCTCAAAAATTAATAGGGGGGGAACGTTCTTTAGACGGGCACAGTATATTGTGAACAGGGCTCAATTATGTTTTCAGTTATTGGAAAGGAAAAATTCCACGTCAAGGCTGGATGTATTTGTCCATAAACTATTGTTGTTTTCATGCGTTCATCCTCGGTATCGATACGAAAGTTTGCGTTAGATGGTCGGAAGTGATGAGTTTGGACAAAAGAAACAGCCTTATTCTTCCAGACTCCATGCAACTTGTCACGAGAGAGAAAGTGTACAACTTCAGTATGTTCCTGAGCAGGAATGAGACGTTTTCGCTGATGGAACAACTCGTCGATTTAGCTATGAAAAGGTATACAGAATCAACTAACAGATCAGTTATGAAAAACTTCACTTTGGCAAAGTTCGACAACTATGACGTCATAGTTGGGCATCGTAAACGGGCGCGCCTAGACGTGACTAGAGTCCCTGTATGTATTTGACACAAATATATACAGGGAATTATACATACAGGGACTCTAGACGTGACTAGGCGTTTTGCTGGAAAGCACTCCTGACTCAGATTGAAAATAAGACACGTTTTCTAGTAGTTTGAATGTTATCGCAAAGTCACATGATGACCTTGACCCACCACAAATAAGACTTCTAAAATTTTTTTTCAACTTCGGTATACGCGAGTTGAATATCTGTCACCTATTTATTAATCTTGTTTATTCTGTTCATTTTCATTTCAATACATATTTTGGCCAATGGAAACATTTAATCATGGAACGAATTATCGGCCTAAAGAAACACGTACTTGGGGATAAACAGTGTTATATGTTTCTACATACTTGTTTGACATGGGAAAATAGAAAAGAGAATGGGGTAAATCAATAAAAAGAATACTACGAAATAGTCACAATTCTCAAAGTGGAACAAAATGTTAAATAAATACAAACAAGCTCAGTCATTTCCTCAAATGTTCTTAAAATGAACAAAAACATCTACTTTCCTGGCTAATGCCACGCAGAACATTGAATTACATCCTCCCTAAATCTATGCATTGATACATAAAAAATAATAGCAATGCAAGTGTTTCTTTTCCTATTGCCGATTTATTTCGATTTATCCAGGTCTTTAGAGAAACTTTTTCATCATAATTTCTCATCACTCATTTATTTTTATGAAATTTTGTACACACCTTTTTGACTTAAAAGATTTTTGAAAATTTTCACCAGTGGCGTCCGTACGGGGTTTGAAGAGACACATTTTTGAAGAGAAAAATTGTACGTCACTGATTATTTCGAAAATCAAAATCATTTTTGAAATCCCCATTTATTTTGGAGTAAATTTGGTTTCCAGACTTACTTTCATAGAATGTACCGTTCTCGCGGAAAGAATAAAAAGCAAAACGTTTGTTTTCTTCAGTTCATTGAGATCTTTAGAAGGCAACCACTATGAGTGGAAACACATTCTTTTGGGTGGAGAATCAATTTTTAACTTTTACTAGTGATGTTCACGTAGGCCTGATATTGAATGTTTCGATTAAAAAATAACTGTACGCCCCTGATTTTAACACCCTGTAGCTCAAAAACTTAGAGGATTAGGACATAACATGTTGATATGAACTTTTCTCCTCAAAATCTCCCGAGGATTCACACCTTGTATTATCGACACTCAATTAATTAATACCCAGTACATATACTATTCTGCTATCATGTGAAGTTTTTTACTGTAACACTGCTTAGTTTAGTTCCACTTGAATATATCTTAGGTTCACTTGATATCTTTTCTAGGCTTATTGACGACAAAAGAAGTTATAGTGAAGATAAAGAATTGTTGAACAAGCTGAGGTAAGATCATCCATTCATTGGTTTTATTGAAAATATTATTCTGCAGATTGAAAACCAGTTTAGAGTAAATAAATGTATCAGGTACAAAGTGGGCTTTCGATGTTTATATGGGATAACTCAGTAACTTTGAATGAAACAAAAACATCAAGCCCTTTCTGAAACAAATGCATTAGCAGACACTGAGATGCTTACAAAGCTTTTTTGTTAACTAATTTCGGTTCAACATCCAGACACGTGAATATCATGAAAAATAGGTCCACTAGTTAGGTCTTAAGTTGCACTCATTTTTATATTCATTTCAAGTAGGCGATGCCATGTGTAATATACAGAATTCAAAGAACTATAAGGCCAATATCGGTTTCGTACACATGTGATCATGTGCAGTGGAGACGCAACAGGTCCAGGGGGCGGTTTCAGTAGGATTTTATTACCACATTTTTGTGGCTTTGCAAGACATTTTCTCGGAATGGCACTGTTCAACACATTGAAATAAAAAACCGTTCTAGGGTATCTATTATGATAGATAGGTGTAGCTTCATTTAGATAGATGAAGTTATTGCCTGTTATACCAAATATGTAGATATGAAAACTTCCGTGAATAATAGCATGTAGATGATAGAATGTCATTCATAAATCCGGCAAAACTTTTAATAATAATTTATTTCGAAATTCGACTTGGGCGTTTGAGTTTTGCTATGAAAAATATGAAAAATGGACTACTCAGTTGGGTGTCTCGTGACTTTTGCAAAAGTTACATGTTTGCAAATTAATCGCTAAAAACAGGCTCATTTGTTTGAATTTCAAAATAGTACATTGTTTTATTAGGATCAAATGTGACACTTTGCTTGACAAACGATATTTGCGTTTGTGAGGCGGAGCGACAGGGAAGCCGAGCAAGCAAATTTTGCTAATTTTTCTGCAATCGAAATAATTCATATTTGAATAATAAAATATAAGTAAAAATACCACTATTTTGAGCCACTTGAGCATGTCAATGTCAAAGCAACTATCATATCAGCTATCATACGATACGTTTTTAGTTCCTAGAAGTTAAACTTCAACTTTAGCTCCTAGACAGTAAACGTGTTGCCAAGCAACATACATACTAATTATTGTGTCAGTAAGAGAAACGTCAACTTAAAGAGCTAATTTTGGAACAAAAATGGAAAACTTTAGATCCGATTGCAGAAAGAAGTTGTTGTTTTACTAGGCAGAAAAGCACAAGATTTGATGCTGTGGCTGGCGTTTCACAGCCAAGTCGTAGCCGTGGCTAGGTATCTAGCCAAGGCTAGGGTCTAGCCAAGGCCTTAAATCTGCCTTAATGCCATGTGAAACATCTTTTTTTTTAAATCCGTTCCAATTTCACGCCAAATCCAAATAATCCATCATTTTGTCTTCACCCAAAGTCATAGTCAATTTTGATTACCAATTTGATTCAAATTATTACTTGGAACGTTGCATAGCAAACTCTTTCTGCCTAGGCAGTTCTTTCTCTGCCTAAGCAGTGAAATACATCTTTCCTGTCTGTTAATTGTCATTGAAAATTCACTTTTAATGCCATAGGAGAAAAAGTGTTTTCTCAGACTTATATAAAAGGTGTCCTGTTAACCTATCAGGAAACAACAACAAGACGTCAGTAAGAGTCTAACGGTTTTCGAGATATTGGAACTTCTATGAAAAATCCAAATTTCTATCTCAGATAATCCATTTATGTCTTAAACAAATGAGGAGCGTTTCATGTTAATTTTCGATTGATAATCCTGAATATTATAACAATAGCGGAAGGCAGATTTTTGATAGTAGTAATTAACGTTCTACAAAAATAATATGCTCCGATATAGATTCTTCATGATTCCTATTATGAAACTCTGTTCAATCCCTGAGTGATTAAAAGTATCACTTTAGACCTGCAAATCAGGTATTAAGACTACACTTTTATTTCCTGAAGTACTTGAACATAAATATATCAGTTCCATCAGTTGTTGAGAGTATTGCATTTTTAATTTTGATCTGCAGAAATCATCCCATCTAAGTATTGTCAGTTACATCTTTTCGAAATATTTTTAGTAAGAACGTCCCAAAAAAAGCGTCTTTTCTGAAAAGAGACCTAGACGCCAGGGCTCAGTCGGAAGCTTATAGACTGATGTTCAGATTGCCATCGACAGAAAAATTGGATGGTTCTATAGATTGTACATTACTTACACCATATAACAAGAAACATGTGAGCGGAAGGATTTTTCTCTCACAAAATTACATTTGCTTCGAGAGTAGGGTAAGGAGATTGAACACAATATCCATTAAAAAAAAAAAACGATCGTGACATCTTATACATGGTTTTTCCGAAATTAGAGCTGTTAGTGAAGCGGGAGAAATGACGAAAAAACATAAATAAAAAATACATCAATCATTCATTCATTCATTCATTCATTCATTCATTCATTCATTCATTCATTCATTCATTCATTCATTCATTCATTCATTCATTCATTCATTCATTCATTCATTCATTCATTCATTCATTCATTCATTCATTCATTCATTCATTCATTCATTCATTCATTCATTCATTCATTCATTCATCCATTCATTCATTCATTCATTCATTCATTCATTTATATTTGATTTCATTGAAGAGCAACCTCTCGCGATTTTTTTACTCTTCTGATTCTCGATTGTTTGCCATAACAAATAAAACTCTCATACAATTAAACATGTATTTATCGATAAAAACATTATCCCTTATGTATTTACCCCTGACAAAATTATGATTTTTTTGTATTTTTTGCATTATTTATGCATCATCAATTGATACAAATTGGATGTTACTGTTTTCATGGTTTCTTCTTTTCAACTCAAAATTCAATAAGAAACAAAACAACGTTTTTTTTTAAATCTGCAACTTTCTAGCGGCTCTAGAGTCTATAAAAATGAAATAAACCGCAAAATAATAGGTACCTTCTATTATTTTTTGAATATATATATATATACAGGGTGTTTCCTAACTACGGTTCCTAACTGCAGGGGGTGATTTGTTAGGTCATTTTAAGAAGAAAAGTTCCTATGAATATATGTCCGGAGTTTCTTCGTTTCTGAGATACAGGGCGTTGAAATTAGAGAAAAAAAAACGTTAATTATAAAATATCATGAATATCCTGGAACAGATTTGATTGAAATTTGGTACTTTTATTCGTCAAATTTTCTAAAATTTCAGCATATCAAGTGTCAATTATATTTTTGGCGGAAATAATGAAAAACTCATTTCTCCAATGCAGGTGTTCATGATATGCAACACAATGGCTTTGATTTTTTTTTCTCGATATGAAGACAATACAGGAGACCAAAAAGTTGTATTTTGAGTTGCTTAATCTTAAAAAAATGGAAATTCACCAAAAAAAGTCAGTAGCGTACTTTATATCACAACATTGTTGGCTGTGGTGCCCACTGAGACGTCACTGGATCCAATAATTTCAATCTAAATAGGGCTAAATAAGCGCCTCATCAGTTCAAATAAAAGTACCAAATTTCAACCAAATCGGTTCTAGGATATTCATGATATTTTATAATTACCGTTTTTTTTTCTTTAATTTCAACGCCCTGTATCTCAGAAACGAAACAACTCCGGACATATGTTGATAGGAACTTTTCTTACTAAAATGGCCTAACGAATCACCACCTGCAGTTAGGAACCGTTGTTAGGAAACACCCTGTATATATATAGTTTGAAAAATACCACAAAAATTACTATTAACTCCCCCAGAGATTCGCCTTACTTGTTACAAGAATTCCTTTTATGTAATTAGGTGAAAGCGCAAGTCAGCCTAGTCATACCGTTAAGAGATGTAACCCTTGCTGAAAAAATAGAGACGAACATGTTGAACCAGTCTTTGGATAAAGCCATAATAATCACGATGAGTGATACCCTCAACCGGACGAATTTCATATTTGCTCAAATCCTCGACAGGGAATTTCTGATCGAGAAAATCTCGGAATTATTGTCGAAGACAAAGGGTTCCAAAACGTAAGTGAATATTTATTGAATCATTAATATATCTATTTATTCAACAAGTTTAGGACACAAACAGAACAAGTTCCTTTTAGGTCTGTACAAAAACCACTACTACATATTCCTCAGACCAAAACAATATGATACAAGCACACTCACCTCAGTACAAAGTTGCTTAGTTTGGGCGCTAGACGGTTCTGAAATTACAATTTTCTTATCGCTTCTGCTTCATAACTGTGAAACGGCTGAGATTTTACTCAAATTTAGTAAGTTGCCATAGCTTTATTGGGCAATAGGATGATGAATACCATTCTATGGGCGTAGAACCTAAAAGAGATTTGAATAATTTACTACAAAAAATATACTATTTATAAAATTAGATTACTCTCATGGTTTCCACAAGATTTGAATTTGAGTTGAAACATCAGTTAACATCAAAACGACTAACAGATATGTCATGAAAAGTCTTCAAAATGTTCTACATTTTCACGTATACGAAAATTTATAGGACGAACAAAATGGATACAAGAAAACTCACTTCAGTACAAAGTTGTTTAGTCTGTGCGCTAGACGGCATTGGCTTACTCACTATAAGAAAAAAGAAAAAACAACAAAAAATAGCTGATAGCACATTGCATACGGGAAGATGATAAAAATAATGAAAATTTTCCATGAAATATCTGTTAATTGTTTAATGTTGACTGATACTCTGATCAACTAAAACTCAAATTTTGTCGAAACCATGAGAGTAATTGAATTTTATCAGTAGTAGCTTTTTTGTAGTAAATGAGTTACACAATTTGTGAAAGCACTTGAATCTAACTGCTTTAAATCCAGAGCAGTATGGAACTGCAGATAAACCTTAAACGCAATAACGTTAACTAGTCGGGATACCAAGTCACATGGGCTTAGAAGGGTACGAAACAGCGGACGTCCCAGCAAAAGAGGGGGGGGGGGGCGAAACATCGTTCACTGGGCCGGAACCGGTAATTGGTATAGCATATAGCACTGCCAAGAATGTTGTAATATCCTGGCCGACAACAAAAGACTCGAGTATTGGCGTAGTCTACCGGGCCTAGCCCATTCCAAAGCATTCATTGCTTGTACAAGGAACAAACAGGACTCTGAAAAACTACTAGAACTCAATAGAAAACACAATTTATATTTCATATTCAAACCCCTTTCTTTCCATTGTTATATATCGCTGTCAAGGTACTTTTGAGATTACTGATGAAGTATGGAAATCATTTTAGAATTAAGCGATCACGCTTAGTCCAGACAACCCGAACAGAAATCCAAAATTGCAGCGACAGTTGGCCGCAACAGGCCTCATGAAACTGTTCCTACTCAGTCTCATTCTCGACGTCAACAAAAAGCAGTAGCTGAAAGTAATCACTGGCATTGGAAGATTCTTGCCAACTCGATAACTTTGTTAGTTTTGATGACGATTCTCCTCAAAATCGGTGTATAAATATTAATTATCCATTTTGAATTAACGGTTTTAGTATTTTGTAACAGCGACAAATGCTCACTCAGGACAGAATTGAGTGATTACGCTCACTCCAGAAAGTCTGAGCGAAAATTCAAAACCGGCGACAGTTGGATACCGCAACAGGCCCTCATGAAAATGTTCCCTTAGTCCCATTACAGACGTCGACAAAAAGAAGGGGATGAGAGATATCACTCCCTTCGAAAGATTCTTCACAACTCGGTAACTTTATTAGTTATGATGACGATTCACCTACAAATTCGTCTATAAATTCTAATTATCCGTTCAAATTGGCCGTTTCAGTATTTGATAACCGCGACAATTTTTTACTCAGGAAAGAATTGAGCGATTATGCTCACTCCAGGAAACTCGAGCGAAAATCGAAAACCGGTAACAGTTGGAAGCCGCAACAGGCCCTCATGAGACTGATGCTTCCGTTCAATCCCATTTCCGACGTCAACAAAAAGCAGTAGCTGAAGGTTATTACAACCATTGAGTTAACTTTACTAGTTTTGATGACGATTCTCCTCAAAATTCGTCTATAAATTCTAATTATCCATTCAAATTAGCAGTTTCAGTATTTATGGTGGATTTATGCAGCAGTTTTAAGTCTCAAGTTTCGAGTCTTAGGTTCAAAGTCACAAGTTTTAAGTCGTGAGGTGAAAATGGTGATTCATGCAGCAATAATAAAGACTATCTATCATAAGAAATGCACCCCTATTCATTAGCGCATTTTGCTTATTGTTTATCAATTTTATACATGTTTTCAGGTAACAGAATTGTTTCTTTTTTATCATTCAGCGGTTACAAATATCTGTTTTGGTTTTGATTTGATTGAAACAAATGTAAACAAAACCAAAATTACAAATGGTAGCGCACGGCTCATGCGCAGAGCAAATAAATGATAAGTTTTAAGTCGTAAGTCGTAAGAGATGAATGTTAGCCAACTTTTCTTATGACTTGAAACTTATGACTGCTTATGACAATTGCATTAACGTTTATATTGAACAGTAATGAATGAACTTCTAAAGACTTATTACTTAATACTTACGACCTAGAACTTGTGACTTAATACTTACGACTTAGAACTTATGACTTAAAACTGCTGCATGAATCCACCATTAATAACCGCGACAAATTTTGACTCAGGAAAGAATTGAGCGGTTATGCTCACTCCAGGAAACCCCAGCGAAAATTCAAAACCGGTGACATTTGGAAGCCGCAAAAGGCCCTCAGGAAACTGCTCCCGCTCAATCCCATTCTCGACGTCAATAAAACGCAGTAGCTGAAGGTTATTACTGCTATTGAGAGATCCTTCACAACTGATAACATTGTTAGTTCGTCTATAAATTCTAATTATACCTTCAAATTAGCAGTTTCAGTATTTATTAACCGCGACAATTTTTGACTCAGGAAAGAATTGAACGATTATGCTCACTCCAGGAAACCCGAGCGAATATCCAAAACCGGTGACAGTTGGAAGCCGCAACAAGCCCTCATGAAACTGTTCCCGCTCAGTCCCATTCCCGACGTCAACAAAAAGCAGGAGGTGAAAGCTAGAGAGTGGGAGGAGCACTTCAACGTGTACGGACGTGGCGTGTCGATGTACAGGACGACCGAAGTGGCAGGGCTCGTTCTGCAAGGCATACCCGACCACCTCAGGATGGATATCTGGATGTCCTTTTCAGGTTAGTTCGATGGTTATACGGTTATTCTTCCATTTTTCGATATTTTTTTAATTTTCTCTCTTCGTCTATACAGGGTGCTCCTAAATGTTTTTATCAACATATGTTTGGAATCGCTTCATTTTCGAGTAACAGGCCGTCAAAGTCGAAAATATGGAGAAACATGAACAAATTGAAATTCGAGGTCGCATTTGGTGCTAGCGCGATCATGTGTATATTGCCCATGTAGTCAAGAGGCATTTGGTTTCTGGTGGTCCCTCCTTTCTGGGTTGGGCATGCTTGGCAGTCGTCTAGTCGGCCAGGACGTTTAATCTTCCGGCCGATCAGATTACCTCCAAGTTTTTTTCTACAAACGTCAAAAAATTACAATTCTCGCGCATTGATAACAAGTTGCGAAGTGACACTTTTTTCAGTTTTCTACGTTACCACAACACCATGTGCGAAGCAGTGCGCGAAGTAGAACGATTGTATGTAAACTATATGAGATTTTTATATTTTAACATTATGGTCCTTAATCAAGCACACATCCAAGATATCATTTATTTCTGAATGCTTAACAATTTTTCTTTATCTCTGGGACCGCACGAAAGTAAATTCCTATAATGTTCGTGGAACATTGTGCGTATCTAGGGAGGATAGGGAGAGGTCTTTTAAGCCAGTTCAACACAATTTTTTATATCAAGTTAAACATATTACTACTTCAGAACTATATTTTTTGACGTTTGTAGAAAAAAGTTTGCAACTTGAGCGCGAAACACTTTGGTCATATCGAATATTTATTTGACTTGGCTGCGCTTCGTTATAAAAATCTGTTGTCGATCACTAAAGTATCATTTTGCGCACTAGATACAAAAATAACTATTTTTTTGGAAATCGCCTTTAATGTCTGGTTAATTCAGTTTGTTAGGAAATGTGGAGAGGGTGGGTAATCATTCCAGGTGTTCCCTGAAAATATCGCAGGTGTCGTAGATTAGCCCTTGTTTTCTTCCTATGCCATGATCCGCTCTGATAGTTATGTTTTCTGTTTCAGTACTGTTTAATATATGGTATTTATAAATTTTTTGTAATATGTTCAGTATGTATTTTTTTATCACTGGAGTGAGTGCATTTGACTTTGTCTTATTGATAGAAAGCGGTTCACAGGCGCGACCAACGCGAAGTTGGCCCAACCGAACTACTACAAAAGTATTATTATTATTTTTATCATAGTGAATAACATCGGAAAAACTATTGCTGTACTGACTAAGAACTAGTGTTGCAATGACACACTATTGGATTTCCTAAGAAATAATTTGTTTACGGCAATGCAATATATTAGTTATATAATTTTTATTCACATAAACTATACACTACACTGTTTTACCACTAACCAAACCGATTTTTTAACGTCTCGACACGTGTTTCGCTAACTATGTTAGCATCTTCAGGAGAAGATTAAAACTATAGGTACAAACAAATTGATCAAAACATTCCGTCAAAATAACAGAATATGTATCTCAGAAGAAATAGGTATTCCTGCATTATACTTTATATCTCGGGAATAGAATGTTGGTTATCTAAAACTGTCACATGATTTGTGTGCATCAGTATTTCTCTGTTTCTTATGATGTTTTTGAAACTACAAATGAACACAGGAAAAATACTTACCTGATAAATATTGAACGAACTTTTAATCTCTCAATCACTGCATTTTCGAACATCTTCAACACAATCATTCATTTTTGGGATAGGTTCATTTTCTATGAATTGATATGTTTCTCATATCGTCGCTATTGGAGGATGATGATGCTAGTTCATAAGGGGTTTTCTCAGAATTATTCATTAATGAACCGGTCGTCATTTTGTCAATTTGACTGATGCACTGACCATCGTCGATCTAAATGGAAAAGCTAGTTATTAGTACTAGAGTGACTTTATAAATAGAGTGATGACAATATACATCCAAATGGCTGCCATTTCCGGAATGTCAAGTCATTGAATATCTGAAAATCTGTAGGGTAAATCCAATGCAATAATGAATTTGCGCCTTCAAAGTGCCCACCATATGTTAGGTTTAGATATTTTCATTTCATCATCTAAATAATCTGAGACTTACGAGTCCCAAAAGACAGATTCTAATTATTATTATCCATGGTACTGATGTATTGAGTTTTATGTCTGATTGTTGGATTTTTTGAGTCCAAAGAGCAAAAAACAAAGATAAAGCATTGACAAAGTGAAATAGAATGCGTAGAATCGAATGGAGTAATCAAGACAGGTGGATGCACCTCCATATAAAAGGTCTGACCAATCAAAATGTTTACAACTATTGTCACCCTATTTATAAAGTCACTGTAGTTAGTACTAGAGCACGTGCGAAAACACCAGATACACCAGTTTTTCAATGGAACACGGAATCAACAACCTCTATGGTATTCGCTGTTAGTATCATTACCCATCTTTGACTTCACCCTATTGATAGAGAGAGGATTTTAGGCGCTGCCAACGAAAAGTCGGCCCACCCGAACTACTACCGCACTACGGTCGAGAGGGCGCTGGTGCAGCAGTCGACAGCCAACGACGAGATCGAAAGAGATTTGCACCGGTCACTGCCCGAGCACCCCGCCTTCCAGAGCGCCGTGGGAATCGACGCGCTGCGCAGGGTGCTGTGCGCGTACGCGCTGCACAACCCGAGCATCGGTTATTGCCAGGCCATGAATATCGTCGGTGAGTAGCATATACAGGGTGTTTCTTAAGTTCGTGTAGAAAATTCAGGAGCATGTTGCTGACGTCAAAATAAGAAGAAAAGTTCGTATAAATATATTGCCGAAAGTTATTCGTTTCTGCAAAGTTGAATTCTTGTTTTTTTTTGTTGATGAATTTCAAAATAATTGTGTCATTTGAATAAATTTTGGTATCTAGGGGTATTTTTCAATGACAATATCATATTTAATGTTAGTTTGTCTCTTTCTTGGGGGTGCCGCCACCTACATGTCTTTTGGGTCTTTCGAAAAGTCATAACTTTTTGTGCGTACCTGTATCACGTTTTATAGTAGAAAAATAGATTTCTAGAACACTCTTGTGTTGAAAATATATTCTCAGTAGAGGTCGCTGCGAGCAAATGTTTTCGAGTTATTGGGATTTGGAATACGAAATTGATTTATTGAGTGAGGGAAATTAGTTTTCTTCAATTTCATTTTAAAATAGGAATCGGATGTTATTACAAACTAACATAAAATTTGATATTGTCATTGAAAAATAACTCTACATACCGAACTTCATTCGAATATTACAATTATTTTGAAATTTATTAACAAAAAACAAAAATTAGAATTCAACTTTGACACTCTGCATCTCAGAAACGAATAACTTTCGGACATATATTTATACGAATTTTTCTTCTTATTTCGACTTCAGCAACATGCTCCTAAATTTTCTACACATACTTAAGAACCTGTACATATCAATTAATAATATGGATAACAACGGGTGCCAGTTTTTTTCAATTTATTTATTCATTGAACAAATAACTTCCAGACAGAATAGAATCTGGTATAAGGAAGTACATAATTATATACCTATAGGTAAACATATCATTATTCAAAATATATCAACAACTATAAATTGGCAAACAAAGAATAATATTAGTAAAAGAAAAAAAAAATTGCATGATCAATTTAATCCAGTTTGTTTTTTAATGTACCTATATTTCTGCAATTTTTTATATTGTCAGGTAGTTTATTGAATTCAGTTAAGGCTGAATGAGTGAATCTTTTTTGTCCGATTATGGAGCTAGCGGCGTCAAGATGAAACAAGTTATATTGTCTAGTTTCATGATTACGAATTTCAGAATTCCATATAAAAATAAAATTCGACTTCAATTTTTTATTTATGATATTATATGATATTTTAAGAGTTTCAATTCTATATATTTCATCTAAAGAATACGTATTTGTTATTTCAACTAATTGATTGGTTGGTGTATCAAATGGGAGACGATACAATACGATTTTCTATATAATGTTGATATTTTATTGAAATTATTTTTTGAACAAGATCCCCAAACATTTATTAAATAGTTGATACGACTCAGTATATGAGAGTAGATTATGAAACAACTGATTATCCATAGGGATCTGGTAGCATGATGCGCATACGCAAATATAGTAATCATCACAAACATGCGTTATCGTAGACAATGGTGTTTACCAGCTTTTGAATCAAAGGAGTATGTCTTTTATCGGTTCATAATAGGGACGTTCTTTTATTCACCGGTGGCTCCATCACTTGTGTTCATATATTCTTTGGTAGATAACAGTTTGACAACCACGCGTTCATTTATTCCTGTTATGTCCATCAAAATTGCAAACCATTCCACCGATGTACAGAGATAGTGGATAAATTTTGGTGGTTTCCGAAATGACAGCGACATCATAACCTCAAAAAAATGAAAACATAATATTGGATTTGAAAGCTGTTTGCCATTTGCCTAGAAAAAATATGGATGAATGAAACGAAATAAGTCTAGAATACGAAAATAAAAGAATAGCTGTATCATTGACACCAACAGAAAGGACCCCGCACTTTTTCTATATGAAAATGGCGTTCTGTCGAATTTCCTGAATTTGTGGTATATTATAGAACTCGACCTAATGATCAAACATGCCGAGTTCCAATCCGATCCTATGACCGGTTTTTGAGATACAGGGTGTTGAAGTTGAGAAATGCCCACTTTTCATCTACCCATACCTCCAAGAAAAGACAAATGAATCAAAATTTTCTGCTAGCAGTTTTTCAGTTCAACCTATAGGTACAACAACCATGTACAGAATCAATCAAAGCTGATTTTTATCACAGGGTGATTCACATCTGAATTATTGTGTAATTTTCAATTTCTAAATATCGATACTACAACTTGATTAAAATTGATAAATCGAAATTATCATTTCATATGTTCTTCTTACATGAAATTGATTCATTATATGTATTGATTATACATGGTGTTTCGTGAATGCTGATGTTCAGAAAATAAAGTTTAATGAGCCACCTCGTATTATTGGGTTGATTCAGGCTATTGATTATAATTTTTGAGGACACATTATGATGCATTTCATGTTATACAGAGTGATTCATTAAATGACAAAATTGCCAACTACAAGAAAATATTAAAAAACCACTGTTTTTTCCATCACCCTCTAATTCTAGATTTTCACCGTTAAGGACAGATTTTTTTTTAATCAATATTCTGAGTATTGATACCTCAATGACATGAAGAATTTTCAGCTCCTTCCTATGACTAGTTTTCCATACATTGAATATAATGAAAGTGATTACCCACTCAGATTAAATACCTACTGCTTCGAAACGAAAATATTACTGTTACTGAGACATTTCCATTGGAGACTTGAAAGGATAACAAAATATACACTATACAGGGTGTCCGCTTCACCATGGATCATATATAATCTAGCTGGTGATAAACAAGTTTATAGCTTACCAAAACACCACAACTCGAACTTTTATACAAAGAATTCAATTCCTGTTTGTATGTACCAAGCTACACACGAAGACAGAAATTCATTTTTTTAATAGGTCTAGTGCTAGTCTACTGCACGAATAATGTCAAATGTTTGTATGACTACCTCAATAAAATGAAGAATTTTCAGCTCCTTGATATCACTAGTTTTTCGTTTAACCAGTGAAGAATATGAAAAATTAATTCCCATCATTGATTATATGAAAAAGTGATTACCCACTATTCCATCAGATACCTACTGCTTCGGAATAACAGATTATTTGTAGACATCACGAAAATATTTTTTGTATTCCTAATGTAACTGCTAAAGTTTCATTACGCAAATCTCCATTTGTTAAGTCTTATGTTAACCCGATATCACGTCATCTCTGGTGGTATAGTAAAATCATCTAATACTATTTCCAAATTACCTACAATGTGGAATTTGTGGAACTGATTTTGCATGATCCATGATCTGAAAACGGCATGAATTCTTTTAGCAGTCCGTTCCCAACCTAGGTCCATAAAAATATTTCTATTAAATTCAAGACTTTTCAATTTCCTTATTAAAGGGTACGAATATCATCTTCTTGTGTACATGTTCGTTATTTTTTCAGTTTGTGAATAATTTCCTTGCATTCCAGATTATTTAGAGTGGGCTTAGAAAACAGAATATAATATCAATAACATATCCGTCATCCATCAATTTTCAAGTTGTCATTATAAAGGTGCTTTATATATCAACTATGGAACTTATTTTTTGTATGTTGTTAACGTAGTTTTTAGTGTTCAGTGACTCTTATTGAAAAAAAAAATGAATTCCTGTCTTCATGTGTAGCTTGAAACATACAAATAGGAATTACTGAATTCTTTTTATAAAAGTTCAAATTGTGCTGTTTTGGTTAGCTATAAACTTGTTTATCACCAGCTAAAGTATATATGATCCATGGTGGAGCGGACACCCTGTATACTGTATATTTTGTTATTTCTTCAAGTCTCCAATGGAAATATCTCAGTAACAGTAATATTTTCTACAAGTAATATTTTCGTTTCGAAGCAGTAGGTATTTAATCTGAATGGGTAATCACTTTCATTATATTCAATGTATGGAAAACTAGTCATAGGAAGGAGCTAAAAATTCTTCATGTCATTGAGGTATCAATACTCAGAATATTGATTAAAAAAAAATCTGTCCTTAACGGTGAAAATCTAGAATTAGAGGGTGATGGAAAAAACAATGGTTTTTTAATATTTTCTTGTAGTTGGCAATTTTTTCATTCAATAAATCACTCTGTATACCATGAAATGCATCATAATGTGTCCTCAAAAATTATAATCAATAGCCTGAATCAACCCAATAATACGAGGTGGCTCATTAAACTTTATTTTCTGAACATCAGCATTCACGAAACACCATGTATAATCAATACATAAAATGAATCAATTCCATGTGAGAAGAACATATCAAATGATGATTTTGATTTTTTAATTTTAATCAAGTTGTTATTTAGAAATTGAAAATTACACAATAATTCAGATGTGAATCACCCTGTGATTAAGATCAGCTTTGGTTGATTCTGTACATGGTTGTTGTACCTGAAGGTTGAACTGAAAAACTGCTAGCAGAAAATTCTGATTCATTTGTCTTTTCTTGGAGATATGGGTAGATGAAAAGGGGGCATTTCCCAACTTCAACACCCTGTATCTCAAAAACTGGTCATAGGATCGGATTGGGACTCGGCATATTTGATCATTAGGTCGAGTTCTATAATATATCAGAAATTCAGGAAATTCGACAAAACGCCATTTTTATATAGAAAAAGTGCGGGGTCCTTTAAGAAATTTCGAATGGTAGGTACTGTTTTCTTTCCCTTCATGAATTTCAAGAAATTATTGCGAACATTCAGGAAACTTGAGTATCAACATAGAATTCTTATTGATGACTTCATCCGTATTATCATAAATTAATGCAATGTTTTGTATATGAGGTGTTTTTGAAGTAAGTGCACATATTCATCACATCAATATGATACCGTCCCATGATATCAGATTTTTACTAATTCTTCTAATTAACGAAAAATTTTATCCCAAAAATTGAACAAAACACGAGAAAAAAATCAAGTACGCCATTTTAAGACAATACCGCATGGAAATTTCAACAGAGCTGACTTCATATTTGCTACAGTGTAGAACTTTGGGTGGAAAAAGGGGT